ATGATCATATAAACGCTGAACCTACCAAAATGAAGAACAGACTCTCTTCTTTCATCCAAAAAAAAAAGCTTGTTTCTACCATTTTCCATTCTTTAGTAATCAGCTGTAGAAGAGAGGTGGGTTCCACCAAAAATGCCTGTTTTGACCAAAAAAAGGGAGAAAACGAGCTTTTTGTGAAAAATACATTTCAAGCAGAAAAGTGCCTTTGACACTAATATTTCTTGCTTTGTGACACCTCTAACATATAAAATAGTTTTTCACTTCTATAAAACAGAAATAACACTGAGAAAGGTTATGTTTTATCAAAACAATTTATTTACAAATATATGAAAAAATAAAATGTACATAGTGAAACATTTATTCACAATGAATAATTCACTTTTGTGTGGTAATCATTATAACACTTTCCGGGATGCAAGGGCACACAACAAGACTTGCACCACATTTTTGTCTCACTGCGCAATCCCTTACGTGCGCAAACCCTGCACCTCCTTGCAGGTCTACTTTTACTGCTGGTGGGCTTCAGTTTTTCAAGTTGGTGCCTGCCTAGGTCACCGTCTAGCCTGCTATTAGGGTCGGTGTTGTAAGGCGCCCTTGGGGTTTTTCTGCCTTTCCAGTCACCTTCCCCTTCAAATCCCACACCTGCCCCCTCCCATTGAAAAACGTAATTGACGTCTATAGACGTCAATTACGGTCCCGCCCCTCATCACGCCCCTCATCACGCTCTATAGACGTCAATGGCAGTCAACGTAAGTTTTTCAATTGACGTCTATAGACGTCAATGGCAGTGAATGAGTTAATATAATGTCTTAAAAAGGATTAAAATGTCTTAAATTCAATTTTGATGAGTGTTAAGTCTCCATTAAGTCTCCACTTTTTCTAACTTGAAAGGCAACTTCTAATTCATATTTCAGTGTATTCATTCAAATAAATTGTCTGATTAAATGTTGAGCTAACATTAGCTTGAATAATGTTGGATACGACGGTGACTCACTACTCCATCTGGTGGTTTAAAGTAATATTACATGACAGTGCATCACAGCTCTGTTTGAACAAAATAAGTTTCCACACATAAAATTCGCTTGTTACATGATGGTTAATGTCACTGATGGTCAGTCGCTAATGGACATTCTGGTTGCCTAGGTAATCCTATATTCTATTTACCATATGTTATATGTTAGTCATCACTGTCCTTCATTTTCATTGGTATTGGCTTCAGTCACTTGCATCATAGTTGGAAGCTTACTGCCAAAAGTTATTTCGCCCATTGTTATTTCATGTCACCAAGTATCTTTCATATTTCACGATCTGCTGCTGTGATTTACTTCTTGTGTGGACGCCCCTTTTGCTGACATAACTAAATTAATGCTTAAGAATTAACAACTTACCTCAGGGGGGTCAAAAATGTGGCCCAGGGTCCTGCTAAACAGTCCAACTTTGCTTGTGGGATGCCATTTCTACAACATTTATTGTTAATCTTTTTTGTGTGCATTTTAGTAAATTAACACAAAAATTCTGTTTTTTAATTTGATGACAAGCCCGGATATTGAGCTGCCAGAGTTTTTCTGTAAATTTACACAGTTATTTCTTGAAGTTTAGGCTTGAACAGCCATCCTGATGGGCTTCTTTCATTTACTGCAACAGTATTTCTGTATACTGTAGAAATAAAATGTGAAGTCTGATATCTTTGCAGTGAAAAAGGAGAATTGTAAAGAGTTCATCTGTTGCTTGGTGTTATACAGGCTAAATTTACTTGTTAAGGTCAAATTGGGCTGTATGTGCCCCACAGTGTGAATGTCACAGCTGTTGTTGTTTCACATTCTGTTGATAGTTTTAAATTGTTCTTTAGAAGCAGAAAAAGTAGACTTTCCTGTTCTTTCGTATGAACACGTGAAATGTAGAAGGTGCTAAAGGCGAGTGTTGCAGCAGAGTCAGGCTGCAGTGGATCCTGCTCTGTTAAATAATCATGATGAATAATGAAGGTGTGAGTCGGCCCTCCTGGGCGGACATTTAGTGTCAACTTGACAGCTCTCGGAGCAGCTCGGGGACGAGGGGGAGATGAAGTTGTCTCCATATTAAGCAGGCAGATTAGACCCATTAAATGGAGGGCAGCGTGATGAGGGGCGGGACCAGGACCTCCGGGGTCTGCATCTCATCAGGTGAGACAGGGTGGTGGGGGGAGGCTCTGGCCCGCCTCCACCGCACCTCACGTCTTCCGCAAACTGGAACTGACCCCGCGCTTCTGCTAGCCTCTGCCGCAGCTCGGCCCGGCCCTTCCCATCATGCACAGGGGCTGCGTCAAGCTCCCATGAGTCTCGGCTCGCTCCCTGCCATCTGCCGTGATTTATAGAAAACGGCCGATGATTTATGGGCCAGTCATCTCACAATGAAGTTGTTCTCTTTCATTTGTGCGACCTCCCGACCCAGCCGCCACTCCCAGCCAGGTTGGGGAAATGCGCGCTAATCATACACTATGAGGGCTTTTAAACAGGAGGAGCCGGGCGGGTGGAGGTGCAAACAGAGGGCCTTTAATCAAATTAATTTCCAGCAGCATGTGCATACTGATGAAACAGGCGGGCCTGAGAGATGCCAGTGCAACCGCTTCAAGGTCTGATGGCAGAAAGAAGACTCGGGCAGTCAGTCTCATCCCCATGCCTCGCTTTGATCCATGTATGAAATGCTCCGTTAGGAGCCAGTGATCCACGGGATGTGTTTAAATATTTATGCTGTGTTACTGTGGAGCTTGTAAACTAAAGAGTTAGGCCCCGTAGATCAGCTGTAACTACCAATATGACCCATCAGATCCAAAAACATCCACCTCAGAGGGGTTTCCATCTAAAGGAGGAGCTCAGTGGCAAAAATCTGTCTGTTTCTTTACCACTCTGACTGACTTTTCAGTCCATCAGGGATGCTCGAGGAGATGCCACATACAGTGACTACAGTACAAGCTGTGCTGCAGGGAATATAGAGGCAGATACCTTCTTAAACCCACTGGAGGAAAGGCTTAAAAAATCTTTACCAGGCAGATCAAATTTAGAAATAGGAGTATTGAAAGTTTAGCCTGGCACTCAAAGCTGATGGTAGCCTCAGGTCTGTACTCTGAAAACTTGGGATTAAACCTAAAGTTAGCTCACTAAGGCTCAAATCCTGCTTCAGAGCTATGAAGACACAGACCTAACCTGCTGCAGAGCAGAAGAGCACACCTATTGACAAATCAGATCACTGGAAAATAGCATCACCGTCACTGGAAGATCCGTCAGAATACAGGAGACCGTTTGAAGGAGAAGTGTGAAACATGTTTTACTTTGCAGGCTACAAACAACAATGAGAAGTTCATTCTAAAAAGGTTTTTAAAAAGCCGAAGCACAAAGTCAAAGACATGCTTTTAAAAATATACCTCACAGTACAGTCTTATTTAATGATCATGCCACAAAAAAGACGAAGAACAGCCTGAGATATCTTCAGATGAATAGTAAATCTTACTTTTCACACATCTGAGTCTGCTGCCATTACATGTTTGTTACAGTTCATAACAACAGTATTTTTATGTCTTCATGATTCCAACTGCTCATCAACATCTAGAAATATCTAAAACCTCCCAAACATTTTCACTCCAAAAGGAACAGAAATCGATTCCATTGAAATATTGGATGGATTTGATGAATTCCTTTGATCTTCCTCTAATGAGCATCAATAAGGAATAAAGATCCATGGGAGCAACTTTATTTCTTTGTTTTTATTTCTTCTGGCTGCAAAATTATTTCCAAACATTTTCATTGTTCTGTGAGCTTTAAAGCAGACTTCAGTCTAAAACAACACCTGAGCCTTGAAAGTGTTAGCTGATATAAAACCAGCATGTAGGCCTCCTTGAATTTGACTGTTTAGTTCTGCAGGGTTTGGAGCTGGAAGAACACGATTCAAACTGAGTAGCATGCCATAAGAAAACATCTCAGCAGCACCTGAATTTAACTGAATAAAAAACTATTTGATCTGAGCACACTCAGAGTTATTATAGATTTGAGAAGCTTTGACACCATGAGGGAGGTGGTTTGCTGGACTCATGAGGATCCTGCCTCATTTTACAAACACCTTACTGAAACAGAGAGCTGCTAAACTCACCACTCCTTATACCAATTATGCTTCACACAACTTCCAACGCAGAATGAAACCAGGTAGACAAGGTGAATATCAGCTGATATCAATGACGCTGTCAGTCCCTAACAATACAGACTAACAAAAGTGAAAAGTCTCAAACCAGAACTGAGGGATCCTCAGGGGATTAATCCTGTGACTTCTACTGTGGGAGAAAATGAAGCTGAGCTCCACAGTGGCCTCGCAAACAGCATCATGGGGATTTTTATTTAAAGAGTGAGAAAAGGGGAGCAAAGAAAATAATTCCAAAATAAAACCAACATGTGCTGCACAGTGAAGCTGAAATAAACTCTCAGAGTGAAACACTGAAGCAGCTCTGATGAGCTGAATAATCACTAATCAAACACACACACACACGAGTTTAAATGGTTCAAATAAAGCACAGCAGCAGAGACAGAGCTGCCCTGGCTCAGAGCGCCCTCTGTTGGATTTTCACTCAAAGTGCTGTATTTACATTTACAGCTGTCTTAATGCAGGCTGAACATCAGAGAGGAAAAATAATGAATCAAAACTTAAGTACCCAAACCAAAACTTTACATGTGCATCATGAACGAGTCACAGGGATGAGAAGGAAAAAGGACGAGTTGAAGGTGTTAGTAGGATGTCATTATCTTCTGATCAATTATCTCAATCTGCTCCAAAAAACCAAAACAAACAAACAAAAAAAGAACTTCTTACAAATGTATTTATGACTTGCATCTCTCTGAAGGTTTACAATGGCTAATTCTGAAGTGAGCCATTGTAAACCTGAAGTGAAGTGAAGACTGAAGCTCTGGAGCTGATCATCATCAAAGAAACCATCAAACAAGATGATAGAAGTTCTGATATTTATTCATTTCATTGTGAACAAGTGTGTTGTACTTGTTAAAACAATAGAACAGTTTCTCCATCCTGTTTTTGATATTTCACACCAGGTGAATGAAAATAATGTAATTCTAACATTTGTATTCATGTCCATGGACAGTATATGCTTTAATATCTGTGCCTTTAAACATTAAAAGGAAAGAAGAGGTGAGTTTCTATTTATACAGACTGGATTTATCCTCAAATGGATAATTTTCTTAAACTTCGGAACAGTTTAAAAGCAGGAATCAACTAAAGCTCAGCTTGTTCTGCAGCTTCTGACCGAATCTTGTGGTCTTCATCAGGTGCATTTTGCTGGGTTCTGTTTATAGGACTTCTTCTCTGGCTTGGCTTAAACTTTGATTGATCCACATTCCCCATGGAAAACGATTTGACTGACTGATTGACAGGACATATGATCAGAGGTGCAGAGTTATCATTATCATCATCATTGACCCCGGGACAGAAGAATGGGTAGAGTTTCCCGGTGAAGGAGCAGCCAGGAAAGGAGTAGACAAGAACTGCACGATCTATATCATAAAAGGAGACCAGACCCTCCTCATAATCCACAAACACCCCCACCTTCTCAGGATAAGACTGAAGCAGGAGATGGACTTCAGGATCCTCAAGAGCCACACAAATGTTTTCATATACTCCTACAGTCCAGTAACCTTTCTCAGGACTCGGTATGATTTCTTGTTTCCTGTTGACTGACTCTCTGACTACTCCTAAAGCCCATTCAGTCTTTTCTTTAACCTGAACTTCAAAATAAAATCTGCCTGAAGAGAAACTCTTCTTTCCTAAAACAACAAGCTCTTCAGAAAATCTCTCTGGGTTGTCTGGATGATCATTCTCCTCTTGACCACAGTGTACTTTTTTTCCATCATCAGACAGGATGAGATAACGATGTGCTGTATCAGGATCGAGAGTCACATCCACTGCATACTGCTGGACCCTCTTCAGTTCAGCCTCAAACAGCTTCTTCATGTCTTTACTGAATATCTCCTTCAGCTGATCCACAGCTCTCACCACAGTCCCCTCATATGATGGTGGATGGATACTGACCTCTGTCAAGTCCTTGGTGGTTGGAGCGGATTTCAGGGATGAGAAGCTTTGGAGGAGGTGGAGGTGATCTTTAGAGCGTGAGAGCTGCTCCAACTCAGAGCTTCTCTTCATCAGCTCAGAGATTTCCTGTTCCAGATCTGTGATGAAACCTTCAGCCTGTTTCTCTTTTGTTTCCTGTTTCTCTTCAATCTCCTTTATGAGCTCGTTCAGACGTCTGTCAACAGACTCCTTCAGAGCAGTGAAGACCTGAACACCTTCTGCTTTCTCTCTGTCTGCAGCATCTTTACTCATCTTCACTGACTCTTTGATCTCCTGAATCTTCAGTCGTCTCTTCTGGATCATCTGTTCAATTTCAGCCTCAGTCTCCCCCAGCTCTGCCTTCTTTCCTTCATATTCTTCTCTCAGAGGAACAAACTCATGAGTCTTGTGGTCAAAAACACAGCAGAGCATGCAGACACATGTCTGATCGTTCTTACAGAACAGCTCCAGAGGTTTATCATGCTTCATACACATCCTGCTTTCCAGGTTCTCCTCAGGATCGATCAGCTGATGTCTTTTCAGCCGTGAAGCTGTCAGGTGAGGCTCCAGGTGAGTCTGACAATAGGAGGCCAGACACACCAGACAGGACTTCAGGGCCTTCAGTTTGGTTCCAGTGCAGATGTCACAGGGAACTTCTCCTGGTTTGGCAGCTTGTTGCTCTGACCTGCTGCTGCTGACTTTCTGCTGAGTTTCATGTCTGAACTGAGAAACCATCTCAGAGACAAATGTGTTGATGTGCAGCTCAGGTCTGGTCTGAAAGACCTTTTTACACACAGGGCACTGACACCTGTCACTGATATCCCAGTGTTGACTGATGCAGTTTTTGCAGAAGTTGTGTCCACATGGTGTGGAGACTGGATCAGTGAAGACATTCAGACAGATGGAGCACAGAAACTGATCTTCAGATAGAAGACAGCTGGCAGCAGACATGTCTGCACCCTGAACAAGAAAAAAAAAGAAAATTTGTTCATTTTTAAATTTATTAATTCACATAACACTACACTTATATTTTTCTTTCTTTAAATATAGGATTTACAGGCTCTTGGTTTAGAATTAATTAACTCATACAATCACATAATACTGTATTCTAAAATAATTTTGCACATTTTAGTTTTTCCTGTTATATTTATGATTTAATCTTTCTGTGTTTTCTGAGTTACCTTAGTGGCAGTTGCTCCAAGACCCTTGGTTGATGAGCTAAGAGGTGGAATAGGGGCGGAGCAAGCATATATGGAGACCTGCAAATTGGGTCATACCACAACTCTGGATCAATTTGTTATGTTAGTTTCAATAAGGTTTTGTGTGTTCTACCTCTTTTTGTGTGTGCACTATTTAAGTTTTGTTTAGGTATTGAGTTAGTAGAATTGTTTGTTGTCAGCTTTTGAATAGTGTTCTGTTACTTTGGCCCAAGATTTAGATTTTGCTGTATAATTTAACCCAAGGGCGTAGATTTGGCATGGACGGAAGGGACATGTCCAGCGATTATTGAATTGTCCCCACCAATAATTTGATCTCTTCGAGTAAAGAAAAACAAACCCGACAGAAAGAAGAAAAAAAAAGATCTGTCACCGTCTCATTCACCCAGCGGTGCAGAAAGAGCTAAATTACGTCCTCTACTGGAGTCCTACCTCATGTGACAAATATGGCCAATGTGATTGGCTGTGCCTTTCAGGGAGCTCTGTTTAGTTTTAGCAGCGGCAAGCCTGCGCTGCAAGGAGTAGAGGATGATGGCAGCAAAGAGGAAGATCCTGGATATAAGAAAGAAACCTGTAAGTCACTTAAAGCCAAGTTAACTCATAAAATGTGTCCGTCATAATAACGTTACAGGCTATGCTAGGCTTTGGCCCACATCAGTCTAAAATTTTATGTAACCATGAATAACGTGTTTTGAAAACTAACTGCACAACAGGCAGCACTGTTAGTTATCTCAGTCTCCCAGAGCAGCATTTCTAATTTTGATTGAAACTGTCAGAAAACGGCAGCCTTGAGTAAGCCAGGATATTAGTTTACAGAGGCTGTTAAAATTATATGTCTAACGTTAAAATGTTGGTGACACAATAATTTCATCCTAATGGTACTGACATATTCATAGGGTTAATTTTTGAGACAAAATATCATGAGGTAGTCATGATTGTGCAAATATTCCACCTTGTAGTGCAGTTTGCACAAATTGTTTTAAAAATGCACTCACCCTACAAACATTACTGATGAGTCAAGATCTGCACAAATTGACAGAAACACTGAAGCAGCTACTCATTTTATTCTTATTGTCATGTATGTCCTATTTGTCAGGTGACAGAAGAACCAACACAAAGCTCAGAGAGCAATGGTGACACAAGATCACAGGTGAAGTTGGATGATGACTTGTTGGTTCATGACTGTATTTGAAGCACATGTGTGACTGCATGTATTTGGAATGCCTCACTGTTATTTATCAGGTGACAGAGGCAGCTCTGCCATGTTGTAGCTCGGACAGAGGTGAAGAGGCGAGGTCACAGGTGACTGACTGATGATTTGGTGCTATAGATTAACTAGTATTTATTATCATCATCCCATCATCCCAGTATCCTCGGCTGAGGCTGAAAGAAGCTTCAGTGCTCTCAGAAGACTAAAAAGATGGCTAAGGTTAACAATGACTCAAATGAGATTAAACAATGCTGCTGTATGTCCACCAGAGACTGGACAGTATAGATGTAAAACCAATATGCCAGCAGTTTATCTCAGTTAACGAGAGGAGAAGGCATGTGTTTGGCTCCTGTGGACATTGAGTTGTTGTGTGGGACATGTAGTCCATGTCTGTTGCTGTAACAGTAGTTCATGTTTAGAATAAAACATCCCAGCTCACTGACTTGATCGGGGCAATAGTGCCTAAAATGTTGCATAATTTTGCCGAGAGATCCTTTACTTTGTGGTCATCTTAGATGGACAAAACCCACCAGGTCAGTCAGTGTTCCCTTAGTGCTAATGTATATAAGAGATGTTGGTGTACTATAACTGAAGTAATGCTGTTAAGTCCTTAAAGTCATATTCTTTTATTATCATGATTGTATTTGAAGCTGGGTGAGGGACCAGACAAAGAGCGATTCATAAGACCCTTATGAAAAGGACACCGAGGGAACAGTTTACCCTGCCCGGGATAGGGTTACCGGGGCCCCGCCCTGGAGCCAGGCCCGGGGAGGGTGCCCGAGGGCGAGCGTCTGGTGGCCGGGCCTTAGTCCATGGGGCCCGGCCGGGCACAGCCCGAAGAGGAGACATGGGCCCATCCTCCCGCAGGCCCACCACCCGCAGGAGGCGCCATAGGGGTCGGGTGCATTGTGTGCCGGGTGGCGGCCAGGAGCGGAGGCCCTGGCGGACTGACCCCCGGCTGCCAAGACTGGCAATAGGGACATGGAATGTCACCTCTCTGGTGGGGAAGGAGCCTGAGTTAGTGCGTGAGGTTGAGAGGTACCGGCTAGATATAGTCGGGCTCACCTCTACACATGGCTTGGGCTCTGGAACCAGTCTCCTGGAGAGGGGCTGGACTCTGTCTCAGTCTGGAGTTGCCCCTGGTGGGAGGCGGCGGGCTGGGGTGGGTATCCTAATATCCCCTCGGCTTGCTGCCGGTACGTTGGGGTTTTTCCCGGTGGACGAGAGGGTTTGTTCCCTGCGCCTTAGGGTCGGGGAACGGGTCCTGACTGTCATCTGCGCTATGCGCCGAGTGGCAGTTCAGAGTACCCAGCCTTCTTAGAGTCCCTGGGGGGGGGGGGGGGGGGGGGGGGGGGTGTGCGCTGGAGGGTGCTCCACCTGGAGACTCTGTTGTCCTGCTGGGAGACTTCAATGCTCACGTAGGTAACAACAGCGAGACCTGGAGGGGCGTGATTGGGAGGAACGGCCTCCCTGATCTGAACCCGAGCGGTGCTCTGTTATTGGACTTCTGTGCTAATCACAGTTTGGCCATAACGAACACCCTGTTCGAACATAAGAGTGTCCATAAGTGCACGTGGCACCAGGACGCTCTAGGCCGTAGGTCGATGATCGATTTTGTAATCGTATCAGCAGACCTGCGACCATATGTTCTGGACACTCGGGTAAAGAGAGGGGCTGAGCTGTCAACTGATCACCACCTGGTGGTGAGTTGGATCAGGTGGCGGGGGAGGACGCTGGACAGACCTGGTGCACCTAAACGCGTAGTGAGGGTGTGCTGGGAACGTCTAGCAGAGGCCCCAGTCCGCGAGATCTTCAACGCACACCTCCGGCAGAGCTTCAACAGCATTCCGAGGGAGACTGGGGACATTGAGTCCGAATGGACCATGTTCAGCGTCTCCATTGCCGAAGCTGCTGCATTGAGCTGCGGCCACAAGGTGGTTGGTGGCTGCCGTGGTGGTAATCCCCGAACCAAATGGTGGACACCAGAGGTGAAGGGAGCCACCAGGCTGAAGAAGGAGTCCTATCGGGCTTGGTTAGCCTGTGGGACTCCGGAGGCAGCCGACAGGTATCGACAGGCCAAGCGGAATGCGGCTCGGGCAGTGGCTGAAGCAAAAACTCGGGTGTGGGAGGAGTTCGGAGAGGCCATGGAAAAAGACTTTCGGACTGCCTCGAAGAGATTCTGGCAAACCGTCAGACGTCTCAGGAGGGGAAAGCGGTGCTCTACCTGCACTGTGTATAGTGCTGGCGGAGCGCTGCTGACGTCGACTGAGAAAATTGTCAGGCGGTGGAAGGAATACTTCGAGGACCTCCTTAATCCCACTGACACGTCTTCCGAGGAGGAAGCCGAGTCTGGGGATGAGGGGAATGACCCGCCAATTTCCGGGGGCGAGGTCACTGAGGCAGTTAAACAACTCCTTGGTGGCAGAGCCCCTGGTGTTGATGAGGTCCGCCCCGAGTTCCTGAAGGCTCTGGACGTTGTAGGGCTGTCCTGGTTGACACGCCTCTGCAATGTTGCGTGGAGATCAGGGGCAGTACCTGTGGACTGGCAGACCGGGGTGGTGGTCCCCATCTTTAAGAAAGGGGACCGGAGGGTGTGTTCCAACTACAGGGGGATCACACTCCTCAGCCTCCCTGGGAAAGTCTATGCCAGGGTGCTGGAAAGGAGAGTTCGTCCGCTAGTCGAACCTCGGATACAGGAGGAACAATGCGGTTTTCGTCCTGGTCGCGGAACACTGGACCAGCTCTTTATCCTCTCCAGGATACTTGAGAGTGCATGGGAGTTTGCCCAACCAGTCTACATGTGTTTTGTGGACTTGGAGAAGGCATTCGACCATGTCCCTCGGGGTGTCCTGTGGGAGGTGTTGCGGGAATATGGGGTGTCTGGCCCATTGCTACGGGCCATTCGATCCCTATACAACCGTTGCAAGAGCTTGGTTCGCATTGCCGGCAATAAGTCGGACTCGTTCCTGGTGGGTGATGGGCTCCGCCAGGGCTGCCCTTTGTCTCCGGTTCTGTTCATAATTTTTATGGACAGGATTTCTAGGCGCAGCCAAGTGGCGGAGGGCTTTCGCTTTGGTGGCCTCAGAATCTCATCTCTGATTTTTGCAGATGATGTGGTTCTGTTGGCTTCATCGGGTGAGGGCCTCCAGCTCGCACTGGAACGGTTCGCAGCCGAGTGTGAAGCAGCGGGAATGAGGATCAGCACCTCCAAATCTGAGGCCATGGTTCTCAGCCGGAAAAGGGTGGAGTGCCCACTCCGGGTCGGGGATGAGTTCCTGCCCCAAGTGGAGGAGTTCAAGTATCTTGTTCGCGAGTGATGGGAGAAGGGAGCCGGAGATCGACAGACGGATTGGGGCTGCAGCTTCCTCCGAAGGGTGGCTGGCCTCTCCCTTAGAGATAGGGTGAGAAGTTTGGCCATCCGGGAGGGGCTCAGAGTAGAGCAGCTGCTGCTCCACATCGAAAGGAGCCAGCTGAGGTGGTTCGGGCATCTGACAAGGATGCCCCCTGGGCGCCTCCTGGGTGAGGTGTTCCAGGCATGTCCCACCGGGAGGAGGCCCCGGGGCAGACCCAGGACACGCTGGAGAGATTATATCTCTCGGCTGGCCTGGGAACGGTGGCTGGGGAGAGGGAGGTCTGGGCCTCTTTGCTTAGGCTGCTGCCCCCGCGACCCGGCCCCGGACAAAGCGGATGAAGATGGATGGATGGATGGATAGATGTATTTGAAGCTATTTTTATTTTTGTATGATACCTGATTTATATGGAATATGGCTGAAGTAAACATAAGTCTAAAATACTTAGTCAGTCATTTGTTTAATAGTAATTTAACTAATTTAACAAAACTATGAATTTTAAGTTTAAATGGTTGAAAAGCATGTAGAATAGCATATGCAGGGAAGTATATTTCTCCTTTTTTATCAAGAAGCAAAGACAAAAAGGAAAAAAAAATAGAAACAGGGCAGGGTTCGGTGGTTGAATCATCCGTCCCCACCAATGCCAAAACCAAATCTACGCCCTCAATTTAACCACATTTGTTTCGGGGTTAAATAAAAAGCCTTTTTTGGGGGGACTTTAAGGTTAGGGTCAGGTTAGTGTTTGGGGACTATAATCTGATCATCGTTAGGGTTTGGCATGTGGTGTGATGCTGTTTCCACATCTCAAAAATATGACATTACAAATTTAAGCCCAGATCAAATAAAGGATCATTTTAAACTGTGAGTCATGCAGAGCTACTGTACACACTGTACTTCCTCTCACTTCTTCACAATAAAATGAATCCGCTGCTTTGCTTTTATTGCAAAACAGCTAAAGCAAATAGAAACAATGAGTACAGGAAGTGATGAGTAAGCAGTAATAAAGCAGGCAGACTGAAGTCCAAATGCAATTCACTTCCAAAGTCCAAAGAAGTGACAGAGCTAAATGTTTGCACAGTCGATCCGTAGATGAATGATCACGTTTCTATTGGAACCAGTGTGACTGTGACGAGTCAGCATGAAATGAATAGAGTGTTGAATGTGATCAGCTATACTCACTGCTGTTTGTAGAGACTCTGCTGTGTTGTTGAGGAAAATCTGATAGACTCAGTTGAATCTCTGCCTCTCCCTGCAGGTGTGTCAGGCACAAAGTGGGGAGCTTATCAGACCCTGAAATTAGAGATTTTAACTGTAAACGTCTTTTCTCTGTCCAACAAATGTAATCTGATCAGTGCTGCTATTAAATCAAGTCTTATTTCATCATTTAGAAAAAATGTGAAACACACCAGCTGCAGCAGTGTTACAGTTATTGTTCCTGACACAGAGAGAGTTTAAGTTTTAAACAGCGTGATCATGATATCTGTACTCACCAGTGCTGGACAGAAGCTCTGCTGTGCTGCTCAGAAAGGCTGGATGAGCTCAGTTTAAGGTTCCTTTGAGGAGAAACAGATTTGCTGAGCAGCAGCTCTCGCTTTAAGTTTCAGGTCTCGCCTCTGACACTGAAGCCCTCGTCTTTCAGGTGTTGCTCCACCTCTGACAGGTGGTGGGTAAGGTAACACTTTATAATACGCTCAATGACAAAGGGTTTAATTTCCCTAGAATCAAGTGGAATTTCCATGTATTTTACTTGAAACTACAATGTACTTGTTTGTACCTAGAAAAACTTAGTGGTTTATACACTGAAAATAGGGGCTAATAATTACTTATACTGCATAATGCTGACTCTCTGTGTTCTGTCCATTAGAAGGAGTGAATAAGCAATTTTAAGTGAGTGAGTATAGGGGTGGGATTTAATAAGTTTTCTTCGTCCCACTCCTTTTTCAGGCAATTTTTGTTTTTTGTTTTGTGCATTTTATGTTCAATATAGGTATTTGTTGTGCCTGGAAATGAACAAATAAATGAATGAAAAAATGAATGAAGTAGTACGTAACTTCTGAGTATTTTACAGGAAAGCAAACAGAAATGATACTATTAGTCATTTTATGTAGGGACTGAGTAATTTTTAAGTAGTGTTTAAATAATTTATTAATTAATTTCAGGTTTCAGTGGAAACAACAACAACAACAAACAGAAATTCTCCCTCTTATGTTGTAAATACACTGTAATTGTACAGGAACAGGTTATATTGTGTAATGTGTTTTTATTTTTGTGTTATGGGCTGTATTGGTGTACATCAGGAATGTTACACTAATCAGTTTCCTCTACATCTCTAAAAAATGTGATTTGAACTGTGTCCCTTTTTCCAACTTAGAAAAACAAACAAACACTAGAAAATATTACTTTTCAATTCAGTTTCAAATGTACAGTGCCAAATCACAACAAACGTTGCCTCAACATGCTTTATATCACAATATAAAGACCCTACATTAAGTCAAAGAAAACAGAGACAACCCCAACAATCATATGACCCCAATGTGAGCAAGTGTTTTGGTGACAGGAGGAAGGAAAAACTCCCTTTTAACAGGAAGAAACCTCCAGCAGAACCAGGCTCAGGGAGGCGCGGTCATGTGCCGTGACCAGTTGGGGGTGAGGGGAGGAAGACTGGGACAAAGACATGCTGAGGAAGAGAGCCAGAGATTTATAATAACTAATAATTAAATGCAGAGGTGTATAAACACATACTGAGTGAAAAAGGTGACTGAAGAAGAAACATTTCACACATCATGGGAATCCCCCAGCAGCATAGACCTATTACAGCGTAATTAAGGGAGGATTCAGGGTCACCTGATCCAGCCCTAACTATATGCTTTATCAAAAAGGAAGGTTTTGAGCCTAATCTTAAAAGTAGAGATGGTGTCTGTCTCCTGATTTCAAACTGGAAGCTGGTTCCAAAGAAGAAATCAGACTTTTGAGTTTTCCAGATAGAGTGGTCAAGGCTGGGTGTCAGGCTTTCAAATAAATTTAAACTCTGTCTGGGTCTCGTGGTTGATTAATATCTTAGAGTGGAAGATTGCTGCCACACCCCCTCCTTGGCCTGCACTTCGAGGATTCTGAGAATTAGTATGACTCAGGGGTATTGATTCATTTAAGCTAACATAATTATCCTGCTGTACCCAGGTTTCTGTCAGGCAGAGTAAATCACTTTGTTAATTACTTATTAATTCATGTACTAACAGACACTTAGAAGAGGGAGACCTAATGTTTGATAATCCCATTTCACTGTTTTAGAGAGCTGCTGCACCCAGAGTGGGACAGATACTGTCTCTCCTCACAAGACCACGTTTCCTCCAGAAAGTTTGCCAATTATCTATAAAGCCCACATTGTTTTCTGGACACCACTCAGACAGCCATTAATTTAAGGAGACCATGCGGCCAAGCATGTCACTCTGGGAAGGGGACCAGGAAAACCAACCAAGTCCAACATTGTTTTGGCAAAATTACACAGGATTCAATATTAATTTTTAGTGATTGTTGTAACCAGGTGTCATTACTGCTGATGTGAATTTTAATTTTATGGAAGTTATGTTTACCCTTAGCCAGTAGTGTTAGGTTGCCCTCAGTGTAGCCTATTTTGGCTGTTTGTGGGTGTGTAGCAGTGTAGAGCAATAGACGGGATGGTGGTGTTCCGGTGGTTTCTGTTTAGACCATGCTTCCTCCTCACTGTCACCCTGCTGTGGGAGATCTAATGGTTGCTATGCTACCTTCAACTGCACAGACTACAGGAGCCTGGCGAGCTACAGGTATTTCAAGGCTGTGAAGCCAGGACTCCAAATCAGTGATCCTGGCCTGCAGCGCTGCAAACAGGTTATATTTATCACAAGTATTGTTATTACTAAAGGAAGTCAAGGAGTAGCAAAGCATCTGACACACTGAGCAGGAAAGTACAAGAGGGACAGGTGAAGAAGCCATACTGCTAGTGAATCCTATAGACAAAATGAATGAATGTTGTGAATATAATTAGCAGATGAATCAAAGGAGACTGTGCTACAGAAAAAGCCTTGAAGATTACACTATGAAATAAAACGTTATCTATGTTTGTTTGTTTGTTTTAATTGGCTACACAGATGAGCTACACAAAAACACCACTGTGCTCTGTAACAAAAACATGAAATGGTAGTGTACTGTGCAGAGAGCTCTCGATTTGGGGCATTATAATGGTGGAGCCAAATCAAACTTGACCATGAGAAAAGTGAGGAAGACGAGGAAGATTCTCTGGTTCTTCTCTCTGATGTATCTATCAGATAGATACATCTACTACAAACTGTCTCTTGTAAGTGTATGATAATTTTGACTGTCAAAGACTTTTAATCTAACCAAAGACCATGAATTTCTTCTTTTAATTTTTCTTTTTCCCCCACAAAACACCAATATAATTGTTAGTATTAAACAAGAGAAACTGAATTAGATCACGTGGAAATATTTTATTAATTAAGTTTTACACAATAAGAGATTAACAGAGTTATTGGTTTGGTTTTCATCTTTCGGGGTGTCAGAACATCGATGACAGCATTTAAAATGAGCTGAAACAGCTTTGAGACAAACTCAGCATCGACTCTCAGACAGTACTGCGTTTCACCACTTATTATACACACAGAATTTACTGAGGTGCTGTTTCATTCAGTGTATTTAACAGTCAGGGCCTCAGTGAGAAATGAGAGCGCTAACAGCAACAGCAGAAAAGAACTACAGCAACTATTTCATTATTCTCCACTGAAACAAAACTAATGTCTGAAAACAGAGAGCAGGTCGGGCTTCCCTCTGCATTTTAAACTTTATTATGCTTTTAATTTAGAGGGCATCATCTTATTCAGAGTGAAACACAGCAACAGCTCTGATGACCTGAATAATCATTAATCAAATACACGCATGAGTTTAATGGTTTAAATAATGCACAGCAGCAGTGACAGTGCTGCCCTGGCTCAGAGCGCCCTCTGCTGGATTTTTACTCCAACTGCTGCATTAACATTTACATTTAGGCTGAACACCAGAGAGAAAGAGTAATGATTTAAGACTTAGCTAGCTAAATGTTTAAGTACCAATACCACAACTTTACATTAGCATCATGAACGAAGGACAGGGTTGAGAAGGAAAAAGGACGAGTGGGCCGTGGGTGTCATTGTGTGCTGATCAAGTATCGCAGTCTTGAAACTAAACATAAAAATGATGGTACAAATGCATTTATGACGTGTATGATAGTTAAAATAATATTACTGATTCAAAACAGCAGCTCATAGTCCTGTTACTTCAGAGGTAAGATGACTAAAGTTCAGCAGCTGATGATCATCAAAGGAGACGATAAAAGTTCAGATTTATATTTATGTGATTATGAACAAGTGTGTTGTAGTAGAACAGAGGAACAGTGTCTCCATCCTGACTTTGATATTGATATAACACCAGGTCAATTAAAATAATACAATGTTAACATTTGTACTCATACGTGTGCCTTTAAACATTGAAAAAAGAAAAAGAAAAGGAGAGTTTCTATTTACTCACACTGGATTTCCTCAAATGGATCATTTTCTTCAACTTGTAAACAGATTAAAAAATAAATAGAAATCAACTAACGTTGAACTTCTGCAGCTTCTGAGTGAATCTCATAATCTTCAGAAGGTGCAGTTTGCCAAGTTCTGTTTATAGGACTTCTTCTTTGTGTTAGTTAAAATAATGAGCTTAACCTATAATTGATCCAATTTCCTCATGTAAAAAGATCAGACTGGCTGATTGACAGGACAGATGATCAGCGGCGCAGAGTTGTTACCATCATCATTATTACCGGGACAGAAGAATGGGTAGAGTTTCTCGGTAAAGGAGCAGCCAGTAAAGGAGTAGATAAGAGCTGCGTGATCTACGTCATAAAAGGAGACCAGACCCTCCTCATAATCCACAAACACTCCCACCTTCTCAGGACGGTGAAGAGGAAGATGGACTGGAAGGTTGTCAAGAGCTATAAAACTATTTTTACCTAAAATTACTGTCCAGTAACCATTCGCAGGACTCGGATTGGGGTCTTCCTTCCTGTTGATTGACTCTCTGACCACCCCTAAAAACCATTTGGTCTTTTCTTTAACCTGAATTTCAAAGTATAATCTGCCTGAAGAGAGACTCTGCTTTGCTAAAACACAAACACCTTTAAAAAATGTCTCTGGGTTGTCTGGATGTTGCTTCCTTCTATCACCACAGTGTACTTGTTTTCCATCATCAGACAGGATGAGTTTCGGATGTGCTGTATCAGGATCAAGAGTCATATCCACTGCATACTGCTGGATCCTCTTCAGCTCAGCCTCAAACAGCTCATATGATAGTGGATGGATACTGACCTCTGTCCAGTCATTGCTGGTTGGAGCAACTTGTAGGCATGAGAAGCTTTGAATGAGGTGGCGGTGATCTTTAGAGAGTGAGAGCTGCTCTACCTCAGAGCTTCTCTTCATCAGCTCAGAGATTTCCCCCAGCTCATGTCTGATCTCAAACACCGTTTTACACACAGGACACTGACACCTCTCACTGATACCCCAGTGTTGACTGATGCAGTTTTTGCAGAAGTTGTGTCCACATGGTGTGGAGACTGGATCAGTGAAGAGATCCAGACAGATGGAGCACAGAAACCGATCTTCAGATTGAAGACAGCAGGCAGCAGACATGTCTGAAAGAAAGAAAATGAAATTATTTTATGCACAATTCAGTTTTACTCATATTTAAAGTGGACTTGTTCTGCTTTTACTTCCTTCTGTCTCATGTCTCCTCTTCCGGTGGTGGATGGTCATGTTAAACACGACCAACACTCAGTTTCACAGGGTTTTTTTACTCTTAGATCCATATGAGGACAATACCAGCCATCTGTGTTAGACAGGATCATTAGTTTGAAACAAGAAATCAAATGGGTGATGTTGAATGTTGTCAGCGTGAGTGCCCCACAGGTTCGATGTCAGTTAGAGACATTCTGGAGTAACTTGGATAAAGTGGCAGAGAGTGTCCTCAGTGGGGAGGAGAGTGGTGTTTAGAGCAGACTTTAATTGACATGTAGGTGAAGGAGGCAGAGGTTATCAGGTGTTGGGCAGGTATGGTGTTAATGAGAGAAACGAGGAAGGACAGATGGTGAAGCATTTTGCCAAAAGGATGGAAATGGCTGTGGTGACCATGTACAAGAAGAAGCTTGGAGACGATGGCTCTAACAAAAAGAGTCAGAATGACATGAACAGAGCATTGAATCATGAACGTGATCAGCTGCACTCACTGTTGTTTGTTGTGTTGTTGAGGAAAACCTGATAGACTCAGTTGAATCTCCGCCTCTCCCTGCAGGTGTGTCAGGCACAAAGCAGTGAGCTCTTCAGACCCTGACATTAGAGATGAAAGGTTTTAAATGTAAACTTCTTTTTCTCTGTACAACAAATGTAATCTGTTCAGTGCTGCTATTAAATCAGCTCCTATGTCATCATTTAGAAAAAATGTGAAACACACCAGCTGCAGCAGTGTTACAGTTATTTTTCCTGACACAGAGAGAGTTTAAATTTAAAACAGTGTGATCGTGATCATCTGTACTCACCAGTGTTGGACAGAAGCTCTGCTGTGCTGCTCAGAAAGGCTGGATGAGCTCAGTTTAAGGTTCCTTTGAGGAGAAACAGATTTTCCGCAGTGAAACTGCTGTGAAACAAAAATTTACTTTCACTTACTGTCTTTATATTTGTTTGTTTTTACTCCTAGTCCGTAATCCTGTGTTGATGCAGAAGTATTCTAAGTCATAAAGAGATGAGACTGAACATCTGGATTTTAAAACAGTGTGATCGTCTGTACTCACCAGTGTTGGACAGAATCTCTACTGTGCTGTTGAGAACGGCTGGATGAGCTCAGTTTGATTTAAAAGAAACAGATTTTAAAGTTCTTTCAGTTTCACTTTTCGAATTCTGATCCTGAAGTTCTGGTTTTTCAGGTTTTGTTCTGCCTCTGTCAGCAGGTGAGAGCTGGTGGCTAAGCAGAGACTTTTAATGTGATTATCAGCCAGAAACATTCAGATGTTTTCTTACGCATGTGAGTTTCTGCCTCTCACACAGATCTGACTTCATGTGTTCCTTTGATATTTCAGTCATGTTGAGCAGCTTTGTTTGGGTTGTTTTTCAAACGTGAAGGGAAATTTTTTACTGTCACATTTTCTGTTTGTTTTGACTTCTCAAATGTTGTTCAGCTCTAAAGCTGCACCATCATGTCAAGAAACCAAACAGATTCTCTCATGATTTGTGCAACTAATCATTTCCTCAAATCTTTACACGAGATGTCAGAGAGCAAAAAGACCTTAGAAACACTAAACCTGGATTTTTTTTATAGCAAAATTTGTCTCAACAGTGTTACAAATAAGTATGAGTGTAAACTAAGACAAATGACTGCAGTGATGTGTGTTTAACTTTAGAGGATTCTCAAACATGCTTAAATCCACACATAAATGCAAAGCAATTTGAGCACATGCAAAACTTCTTTTACAAATGTATACATCCAAACCCAAATAAACACTGATCAGTTACACACAATTTATTAAGTTCATCTTCACAAATCTGATAATTTTCTCTTTCATTAAACTTTCTCTGCGTACAAATGTATAAAACTACACATAACATCCTTTCTGCTCACTTAAAGCCATAATTTTTCAAATGTTTGTGTCACTATTTCCTCAAATGTAAGAAGACCAAACGCACACAGACGCATCCTCACAGAGAAGCAGCACTACCTGCATAGCATAAGTTGACCATATGTTACTGCTAGATGTATTAAATTATAAATTTCTGTTCTGTGCAATAGCAGGATTCAATGATGGAGATATTTCAGCCTTTATTTAAAAAGTCAGAGCCTTTAAAAACTGCTAAAGAGGTTTGATGAAGTCGTGTCCCTGTGGTAGCGCAGAAGCACCTCAGATATTAGAGGTGCAACGGATCACGGTTGATCCGAAATCCGAACCGATCCCACTCCACGGTTCGGCACGCACGTGATCCGAAGATTCAAAAAAGAAAAAAAAGTATGTGTATGGTGCGCGTGGTCAGTCTGTCAAGCGGTATGGTCAGTGCTAGCGGTCCAGGTGGAGGAGCAGAGGAGTTTTCGGCATTTAAGCAGCCCTTTGCTGCCCAGTCCGACCGGGCTAAAGCTATTACTAAAGCTATTGGGGTGTTTAGCTGCAGACGGGAGGTCATATTCCGTTGTGCAAAACAAGGTGTTTAAACTGTGATGAACGTGCTTGAGCCACGCTATGATATCGCGTTGCAAGTCCACTTGCAAACCTGTGTTAAGTAATAAAATCAGTTTAATTATCATGTTAAACCTTTTTAACTCCTGGCTCCACCCAGAGCCTGCATCCTCGGAACTGCCTAGAAACAAAACCTGTGTGTTAACATGAACTTTACCTTTGAAACTCAGTTTTCCCCACTTATGATCCAATCTGTGCCATAAGAAACAAAACTTGAGACAGAACAGTTATCAGTCATGTGCTTCATACAAAATTTCATATTTTTAATTTCATGTTGCTCCTCTGAGTGTATGTAATGGTACTTCTTTTAATTTTGACTTTATCAGAGCTAACCAAAATGTGTTTTCTCTCTTTACTTTGCTCCTGTTTTCCTCCAGTACCAGCTAGTATCACCTACCCTTACCGATCGTGCTCTTTTTAATAATTTACTGTTTTAAAGGGAAAAAACCTCAGTCACTTGGACCAGTGTTTGTTATTCCATAACTGTTTTTGTTTTTGTTTTAATGTAAGAAGTCTACCATTCCCCTATGTAACTCGTAAATTTTGCTTTGTTCTGACTATTTTCCTCTATAAAATTTAATTGTCTTCTACAGTGGCCTGCTTTGGTTAATGGTAACATGAGTAATATCAAAAATTTCCTCCCCTTTAGCATTTGACATTCTCCCAACAACATAATGTGATACCATAATCTAAACCCAGTCAACAAAACAGAATTTTCTTCAAGCAAACATCAACAACCCAAAATTAGCAGCTCCAGAATTAAGTCTTCCGCTCCTCCTGCTCATGGCAAAAGCAAAGCAAAGCAAAACAAAGCAAAGCACCCCCTTCTCTTGCCAGTGTGGTGAATTGTTTGTCAGCATTTATTCATCCTACCCTTGGTCCAGTCTTTATCTCAGTGTCCAGTCAGTCCAACCTTTAGTCCACATCGTCAGTCCATCACAGTCACACACATTCGCTCACACGCATTCACACCAGATATTGCTAATAGTGGAGACTCCCGCGCAAATAATCCCATTCTCCGCCCTCAGCAACATGAGCTCATTCATTTGTTTTATTTTGTTTTGTTTTTTAGGAAAAGAGTTCTTTATGCTCTTGGACTGGATTGACTCACTGCAATCCTTTTAGACAGGGACTTACAACCTGATCAGGTCCCCACAGGTAGCCTTTTCCTCAGCCCATTGTAATCTGGAAAAGCTCACCTTATGTTTGTTCTCCTGAAAAGTTTTTACAGCGCTGTTAATTCACTCCTGCAGGCCTGCTTAGCACAAAAATGAGAAAAAGAGAGCTGATTAGTAGCTCATCAAAGCACAAAACATAATCACCTGACAGATTTTCTCTTAAGTGCACTGTTACAAGGGCCCAGTTCTACCCACGTCCAGGATCAATAAAACTCCCTCTATTAAAATAAGAAAACAACCCAAACCTAACTGTCAGAATCAACCCATCACTAAAACAACAACCCCAAAAATCGTAATCACAGAAAAGTTTTGCCTCAGGTTCTTCAGCGACTGACAGTCTGAGGTCAACTGACATAATTTCACCTGCTAAATACACAGAAAATCTTGTTAAAAGCCACACAGTTTTGCACACCATTGATATTCTCATTAAGCCCTCTCTAAAGACGTTATAACAATCTATCATCACTAAATTCTAAATTTATTTTCCAAATCTGGACTCCTGCACTTAGACTACTGCACTGACCATTTTATTTAATTATCCTGTATGTTACCAAGCCTTTGTTCTCACCCAGTCACAGTGTCTCTTTCAGTGCAAGCTTCACTCATACAGTCAGACAGGAAACCCAAGTTGTTCTTTTCTTTTCCTGTCCCCAGTCATTCAACTAATTTGCATACTGAGTCATATCTCAAGAAGTTGCCGTGACAAGAGAAATGCATATTTAAACATTACCACATTATTGAATTATTTTTATTTTCTTTCAGTAATCACTTGTTTTGATCAATCTGTACAAGAACACTTCTAATTCACTATTCTAAAAACTACTTTAAGCTTTAATCACTTTTTCCTTTTCACAAAAATCACTCTATTGTCATGGAACTTCCCTGAGTTATTCCTCAAGTTCAGGGTTTAAGTGTGTTAAATTCACACTATTTTAACACTGATGAAAGATAGTAAGCTGATTTTCATTCAGTGTTATTAGTCAGGTTAAATCGATGTCTGTGCAGTGGAGCTGCAGATCCACCAGGGCATGTTCTCAAAGCTGCCTTTCCTACACATTTCTCTGCTAAAATTGGATCATTTTTTAACTACTTAGCTATTAGTCCGATGGTCTTTGTATCAATTTTTCATCACACTAAGCGACTTGGACAAGATGATAAACAGACTCACATGCTCAAGATGCTGTCTAATCTTCATGGGCTCTCTTGTTTTTGGAAGTGTTGGTAAGGTTAATACATTTTCTGTTCGTGTGTGTGATTTTGTATATGTTTCTTTTTGCAGTGTTTCAGACTCCTTCACAATTTTCCCACTTAAGCAGTCAGTTTTCTTTTTTCCAGGTTTGCTAACCCACATTTTGATTTCCCATATTAAATAACAGCATTCCACTGTGTTATCACGTACTCCTCTCACTCCGTTGTCCTCTCCCACTTCAACCGTCCAAAGCCAGGCAGTTCTCTTTCCGCTTTGTCCTGCATTCTCCACTGTCTCTCTTTAACTGCCATGTTATTGCTCTTTGGAACTGCATTCCTTGTCTTCAGCCAGGAGTGAGAGCTCGCTTGTCAGGTTTAGTGACACATGGCGCTGTAAACAATTCAACCAGAAACTTGGCCTGAATGTTTCCAGTGATGTTAACCTATAACTTTCTTCCGACTGCTGGATGTGGAAAATTGATCCAGGTCTGCTTTGCACCTAAAAGTGACAAAACTAAGACATTTCATTATTATCATCACTGCTTAAACAACACGCATCTCTCTCTCTGGGCAGAAACACCAATTTATGTCATGTATTCACATTCACAAGTGTAAGCGTGTCTTTGTTGCGTCTATGTACCGGTATTTGTATTCATATTAAGATTGAGTGTAAGCTGATCTTCATTGCCTCGATGTGTTTTTTATAATCAGGTTTAATTCGTGCATCTTTGCACTGAGCTCTGGATTCAAACTATCTCACTTCTGATTCTCTCCAAAAATAATTTCACATGTAACAATTTGTGCATGTGTGTTTTCTATTCATTCATGTAATTAGTAGCTTATGTATTTCTTACTCTCTCCCTTTTTTTTTTCTTTTTTTTTACCTTTCTGTTATGATGCTCTGGACTCAATTTTCAATCCAATTCCCCATACGCTCTCACTCGAACTCGTCCGGGCATGACCTCTCACTGGTCCTTGTCCCTCTTCTCACAGTTTCCTGTGTGGCCTCGCAGGTCAACACAGGCCCAAATCAGGCGTTTCTTCTCTCCATTGCTTCTCTCTTGATCTTTTCAGTCTTTTCTTTATTTCAGGTTTACTCCCAGCATGGCAAATATGAAACTCAGTGTCCAGTGCTGTCCAGTGCTTCAACACAGTTATTTATCCCACTGTTCTTCCCAGCATGTAATTCAGAGTTCATCTTCCATCAAATGTTTTCTTACATGCTGCTGCTGGAGTCTTCAGTGTTATAGGTCAGTTGCACTGTCTTTTGCCTGCTGTTAATTCTTCAAGTCCACGGCGTTCTGTCTGTCTTCTGTCTTCATCAGGAGATTGACTGTCCTTTAAGCTTCTTCTCCAGATGAGGACAGAATGAGAGGTCAAGCTGTAAAAATTTTAAGCCGAAGGCTGGCCTGTTTGTCGTCCCAATTCTGTTAATCTATCATTTTGCCGCTGTACTCATGTTTTGAGGTTGAGTAAGTCCATGGGCACCTGTATTAACACACTAAAACACTTATTTAATATCATTTTCACACACATCAGCCAGTTCCTTTTATGGGCATGCAAAGTTGTTCACTTCCTGCCAGACACACACACACTCTCTTCTCTCAGACTTCCTCTTTTCACGCACTCTGCTATGAACCCACGATTCTTACCCCAGTAGTGTTATTATTACTTATTTATTATTTTGTACAAATCCCACAGAATCACTCAGATGCAGTACCCACAATGTTCACACACTTAGAATCACCCAAAACATGCTTGTGATAGACTATTTTCATCAAACATGCTGTTTGGAATCAGAAAGATTCTATCACATAGACTACGGCGGGTCCCGTAATATTCATCAACATTAAATCAACAGTTTTCTATTCTAAGTCACTTAAGAAAACCTTGCCCAACCCAAGGTTTATTTCTCGGACCTCCACGTCCAAAATCAGCTTTTCTACTGACCAAATAAGTGCATAAAAAATGATCCTTTGATCATTAGCTATTTTTAACCAAGGTCCCAAGTCTTGGCAGGTGCTACCTGGAATAATCCTCACTCCCGAGGCCCCTTTTAGACGTCTCTAAATGGGAGGCAGTTTAATAAGTTTGACACTTATTAAACCCATAAAATGACCAATTACCTATTTATCCTTTGTTACTTTAAACATACATTGGTCTCTTTTCTCTTTTACCATGAAATACCATATTACCTTTAAGTCAGTACTGTCATTCTCGAAGTTTCATTATCATTACTTCAAAGCTTCTCATTCTCAAGAATTTAGTTTTACCACTACTGATCCAATTTAATAGTTAAGATCGTCAACTCAGCGAACAGATAATTTAGAATTCATCCAATGTGCACAAATTTGCTTTTTCTTTGAACAGGTTTGTGCCTACCTTTAAATCTTTTTAGACCAGTCTTCTGTTCGCCTCATATCAGATCCAACCTTTGGCCACATTTGTTCTCTCTGTTGCAAAGGGAACCGGGCGGAAACACCAAATATTAAACCCGATTCTTTGATCTCCATGACATTTATATATATTTATTCAATCATCTTCCGGAAGAGAGAGCCCTGCACACCCCAAAGGCAGTTGCAGGATCTCTAACATTACAAGCTCAACATGTGTCTTATATGGTGTTATTTTGGTACTTCAGACGTCACAAACGTCATACGTGACACACACAGTTTCATTACAAACAAACTCCTTCTACTCAGTTCCTCTTTTCTGTGTCTGATTTATTAATATGCCTGTGCACTAAAACTTCCTGTGCAGCTTGAAATAACTTCCCCTTTCTGAGGTCTGTTGCCAGGGCAACCTGTCACCCCTCGTCTGAACTTAGTTTCACTCTGTCTGCTGCTCATACTCTGCAAAAACATGCAGTTTCCTGTCAGCCTGTGACCTAGTCAAGTCTGGGTGTTAGTGCATTTGAGCGCATAGCCGCTGCTTTGAAGTGGCCGAAAGAGTTTTGGTCCCTCTTGCTCCAATGTAAGCTTGTGGGAAAAGCCCAAGAAGTGTGTTCAAGCCTGTCTATTGAGCAGA